TATACAATCAATTTGACACGGACGTCTGCGAAAACATTGGATTGAAATTGCAATTCGAAATTCATTTTTAATCCACCTGAGCTATTTTTCGCAAAGTTATAATGTATGATCGAAACGACAAATAATTTCAGTTCCCAAATGCGTCTAGTTTGAAATTAATATATAGCAATTTTCTATTTTGAGGACAAACAAAAGTTAAAGAAGATGTAGCTATATGTATATATTCTTTTAGGGGAAGACCATTTGATTCTAGAAGTTGGGGGGGGGGGGCTGGCAAATTTTGTCGAATCAGATTATTTATCGTTATGTCTCACATGATAGTATATATAAAATATTTGTAGGATGACAAAAGACATTATTTATTTTCTTCTTCACTGAAAAAAATTTGAAATTCAATTTTAATCCGTCTGAGCTGTTTGCAAACCTTATGTGTGAATGTATGATTCAAAAGACAAATAAATTCAATTCCCAAATACATATTGTTTGAAATTCATATTTATATTTTTTTAGCGTATAATTTTAAGGACACGTCAAAGTCCTAGAATACAGAGATTATTTTTTCAGAGGACGGTTATTTGATTCTAGAAAGGGGGGTGTCAAAAATTGTCGAGTCAGATCATGCCTTCACATGAAGAATATATTATTTTCTAGGATGACAAGAGTTTTTATTTTTTAGTTTTTTCTTCTCTGAAAAATGTTTGACAAACAAAAACAGGGAGGGGTTGTCCAAACTAAAATAAAACGTTCTTATTCATTTCCAAGATCGTTCAGCCCCCCCCCCCCCCTCCAACCCCCGAACCACCCAACACACACATACCAAACAGAAATCAAATATTTGTCCCTTTATATTTCTTTAAAAACACGGGATAGAAAATTTTGATTTATATATATATTTCAAATTGTTTGTCTTCTGTGTCAATCAGTAACACCGTGCGTTCTAGCGTAGTTGAGGTGGATTGAAAATGAATTTCGAATTGCAATTTCAATCCAATGTTTTCGCAGACGTCCGTGCCGAATTGTACCCGCCCATTTCATTGTCTATCATTAAATGTTTTGACTGTAACAGATGAAAATGACGTAAGCTGTATATTTCCAATTTTGCCAGTTAATGTTCCGCGGTCTTAAAATTTTTTTTATACAGAGTAATTGGGCAATTTCATTTTTTCACACGAGAATATGACAATAACCAGCTGAATGTAGACTATTTCACAAGTGCGCTGTAAAAACGGTGTGATCAATGAATTTTCTAACCGATTATCATTATGTGAATTTTCTAACCGATTTTCATTATGTGAAAAATAGGGCGCTTGTGCGATAGGCATTTTGTTGCTTGACTTGAACCAGATTCGAATCCAAAACGGTTACCTTGCTAGCATATATTATTTATATTTAATTTTTTGCTTGAATAAAACTTTAAGTGCATTTTGGGGTTATATAAGTAGTATCATTCAGTATGCTTGATAGTTAATTTCCAGGTTGTATTTGGCAATTATATACATGAATGCAAATAAAAATGTTAGAATACATTGTCATTTTCCTGCATTCATATATCTAGCGATTATTATTAAGCATCGTTACGTAACATATGGGACAGAAACGTGAACAATTTGCCGAGTAAATCTTTTTTTTCAAGATACATGTACTTGGACCAAAGCCACCGAAGAAGTTACTGAACTCAGGCACAGTCAAGACTGATTAATTAGATTTCAGTAAATCCAGTAATTCAATTGCTTCAAAATCAGCAAGTTCTTTACATGTCCAACAAGATGTGTTTGTGAAACACTGATGCCCCCGTATGGCAGCTTATGGCGAAGGTTAAAGTTTCTCAAATGCAAGTCAAAAACCAGGCCAAAAGATAAAAAATGTTAAATTTGAAAGCCCTAGCTGCAACTGTTCAAAAGTTATGGCGAAGGTTAATTTTTTTAAAGTAAGTAAAACATCAAGGTCAAGGTCAAAGTTGTTGGTATCCAAAGGAAGGTCTTGTCACAAGGATTACATATGTAAAGTATGAAAGCCCTAGCACCAACCATTCAGAAGTTATGGCCAAGGTCAAAGTTTTTCGAAAGTAGGTCAAACTCCTAAGTCAAGGTCAAAGGGTCAAAGTGGTTGGTCTCCAAAGGAAGGTCTTGTCACAAGGATTACATAAGTGAAGTATGAAAGCCCTAGCACCAACTGTTCAAAAGTTATGGCCAAGGTTAAAGTTTTTCAAAAGTAGGTCAAACTCCTAGGTCAAGGTCAAAGGGTCAAAGTGGTTGGGATCCAAAGGAAGGTCTTGTCACAAGGATTACATAAGTGAAGTATGAAAGCCCTAGCACCAACTGTTCAAAAGTTATGGCCAAGGTTAAAGTTTTCAAAAGTAGGTCAAATTCCAAGGTCAAGGTCAAAGTGGTTGATATCCAGAGGAAGGTCTTGTCACAAGGAATACACATGTGAAGTTTGAAACCCCAAGCACCAACTGTTCAAAAGTTATGGCCAAGGTTAATTGTACCCGCCCATTTCATTGTATATCATCAAGGATTACATAAGTGAAGTATGAAAGCCCTAGCACCAACTGTTCAAAAGTTATGGACAAGGTTAAAGTTTTTCAAAAGTAGGTCAAACTCCTAGGTCAAGGTCAAAGGGTCAAAGTGGTTGATATCGAAAGGAAGATGTCACAAGGATAACATATGTGAAGTATGAAAGCCCTAGCTCTAACCGTACAAAAGTTATGGCCAAGGTTAAAGTTTTCAAAAGTAGGTCAAATTCCAAGGTCAAAGGGTCAAAGAGGTTGATATCCAGAGGAAGGTCTTGTCACAAGGAATACACATGTGAAGTTTGAAACCCCAAGCACCAACTATTCAAAAGTTATGGCCAAGGTTAAAGTTTTTCAAAAATAGGTCAAACTCCAAGGTCAAAAGGTCAAAGTGGTTGGTATCCAAAGGAAGGCCTTGTCACAAAGAATACAAATGTGAAGTTTGAAACCCCAAGCACCAACTGTTCAGAAGTTATGGCCAAGGTTAAAGTCTCATAAAATTTTGCAAAAGTGAGTCAAACTCCAAGGACAAGGTCAAAAGGTCAAATATGATGGTATCCAAAGAAAGGTCTTGTCACAAGGAATACACATGTGAAATATGAAAGTCATAGCTCCAACCAATCAAAATTATGGGCAAGGTTAAAGTTGACAACAGACAGACAGACAAACAGATAAACAGACAGACAGGACAAAAACAATATACCTCCGGGATCTTTCGATCCGGGGGCATCATAAAAAGTCGCCGAGTGGCGCATTGGTTAGAGCGTTTGCTCTAGAATCGAGGAGTATAAAGGAGTTGATCCTTACTTCGGAGATTCGAATCCCACTTTCGGACGGGGGACCGGTCCTTCGGATGTGACCGTATAAACCGAGGTCCCGTGTCGCAGTAGTGCTGGCACGAAAAAGGCCGCAAGTGCTGAGTACAGGTCTAAAATTGCAGCCCTCCACCGACAAGGTGGGGGGGGGGGGGTCTCAATATGAGTGAAAAATCTCAAAGGGACGTAAAAACACAAACAAACATGCCCAAAAATTGTCATTTGTACATGTTAATGATATCTCCCTGACACCCGATATTTTACCAGTAGTAGAAAATATATTATAATTAGTAAAATGTAGATCAAAGCCCAAACCTAATTTACTCTGTCTTGCAATGAAGTAGATTACATGTAACTGCACACTGATACTGTAACGCTGGGGCCGATTTTCTCAGGCAATTTGGGCTTAGCTGTAAATTATCTTACAGTACATTGCAATCTGTTTGGAGGTCAAAACTACAAGCCCCAACCTCTAAAATTCGTTTTTAATCCAATGTACCCGAAATCGAGGCATTTTTGAGAAAGTTATTAAATGTATTTTGAAAGGCGCTTGGAAAATTCCCCGAAGGATGATTGGTGTACAAGAAATTACTGCTGCACTGTGATCTACTCATCCAGCATTCATCTGGAAAATCTAATTTAGAAGATCAAGACATCAAAAAATGTCCGCAGTGAGGTCTCAAAACCTTTCTTTTTGTTTGCTGAATGATTCAGTAAATCTGAACCTATGCCAAACGTCATCAGTAAAAATATCGCATTCTGTAATATACTGGCAGTCAGTGGACCAAACTTTTCAATCTGAACCTATGCCAAACGTCATCAGTAGAAATATCACATTCTGTAATTTATACTGGCAATCTCTTGACCAAACTTTTCTGTACTTGATACAGATTCTTACACCTCAGCTTCTGCAAAACTTCATCAATTTTCACAAAAGGTTAATGTTGATTATGAAGAATCAATGCTAGAATACACGATCCTATACAAGTGTTTGTTCTTGGTGACGATTTTCTATGTCCTCAGGAGCACAAAGAATACGATCATAAAATCGACCTAGCGAGATTGTCAAGAACCAACGGAAGAAAATCTTAAAAATCTTCCACCGATGAAAACGTCAAGCGTTGAAAAATTCAGTATACGTAATTGTTCCCAGAAAAACTTCCTGCAATAGATGCCACTTTCTTTTTCCGGAAACAGATTGCATTTCCTTACAGAATTGTTATTCCTTTGGTGCAGATGTTAAAAAAAAAACAATCTGTCTGTTGAAATTACGATATGCATCATGTAGGATTCAAGATGGGTTGGTGCATATGAAATGTGCATGAACATAATTGATCCCATGCGTTATGAACAAGGAATAAATAGACTTTTTTGAACTCTGCAGCACTTTAACCATTTCAGATTTAATATTTGTTGAATTAAAAAAAAATCAAGTCAATTTCCACTCCTTAAATTTCAATGAAATAAAATGCTTTAAAAATAATTCTTTTCTGCTGAATAGTCATCAAAAGTGAAAACCTCTATTTAAATGCAATCATCAATTTCCTTAGCATTATGGCATTAGTTTACGAAAAGAAGTATCATTATATTCAAATGACATAAGCTTTAATGATTAAAGAATACAATTTGATTAAAATTTAAATTTTTTATCATTTGAAAATTAACTTTCTTACCGTTTTCTTATAGTTCTCTATTGCTGAATGCGGCAGGATAGACCAGGGCCAAGGTTTTTTTGACATGTTGAAATGTAAATCAAGATGTATTAGAAACTGTTTCCTCTCGGATTCAGGGACCGAAAAAAAAGTGTCCGCTCTCTAACAGGGGAGAATAAGTGTGAAAATTGGCAGAACTCCCAGAACTTTTTTCTCGAATATGATATCCGCCTTTTTCACCGATGGGTGTCCTCGATGAAAGGTAATTTAGGACACATGTGAAGAACGCTTTCCAGGTTTGGCAGTTCACAGAATCTAAGATTATAGTTCTTATTGCAAATAATGAAGATGTCAATGTTATTAATACATTAAGTTTGCGCAAGGATTTGATGAATGTTGTTTGGTTCCAGACTCCGCTTATTGTTTCTGACGGTATCGGGATTAGTCTGTCACATCAATGAGGTGTGCGGAAGAAGAAGGAAGATTTTGGCGCTCTTATCTGCCCGGTTCATCCAAACGTCATGGAATTAAAGCTGCTTAAGAGCAGACCCTTTTGTTTTTGCAAATGCCTGCATGCTTCACGCTGCTTTGCCAATGTCTTTGATAATGAAAATATTATTGTTGTCTCTAGGTTGTATTTGCTCTTGAAATACACATACCTGGTAAATTACAAGGGAAAGAAGACAAATCCAGATAGGAATGCTTAGAACGGTAAAAATTTGAATCAAAGTTTAGAAAAATTACTTTGAATACACTCGTAATGTTCGATAGGTCGTCAAAGAATAAAAAAAAAAAACATTCATTGACTGGGTTCGAAAGCAATATTTATTATCTGACCTGAGAAACCAAATAATGTCTAAGGTCGTTAGGCCAAAAGCAAAGTTTTGTTCGAGGTTTCAACAAAACTCATTTAGTCCGAAAACCCTGTCAATATTGTTTTCTTCACAGTTAATTTGAATTTCTTCAGCTTATTCAGTATCATTGATAGCTTGACATAGAATAAAAAGGTATATATGTATCTGATAATTATGCATTTGTTGGTTTGACCATAGGAGCTCGGATGTATTTTTTGTACTGTGTGTTTTTTTTGTGTGTTTGTCGAAATATTCTGATTCTAATAAAAATCAAAAATCGCTGTAATTCGCAGTTAAAAAACGTATTTCTTGAACATAAAAAAGAGAGAAGGGATGAAACTCGCCATCTTGGATTCCAGGGGTGCCTCGCTTCACACTTGATTTTTATCAATATCCTCACTTTTCCTACCGGTGTCGGGTGAGGTCTAGCTTCAATAATGATTGAATAACTCCCTTCTATCGTCTGCCGTATAAAACATGCAGTAAACCAAAACGTCCTCGATACCTAGCACCTGTGTTTGAAATAACCGTGCGCCCGACCGCCCGAGACGCACAAATTTTGCAGCGGGAGAACAAATTGCATGCATTGATGCCCGACTGGACCTGTTAAAATTTTCGATAATTAAAATTCATATATTTGATGAATCTCTTTCATATCAACTAATAGTTTCGGTAGCAAAGTGTAACAAGCCAAGAGGAAGAATTCATCAGCCTATAGATTCTGGTTTGAAGTTATGGTGACCAGGTTCCAGTCACATAATCGTTAAAAATAAATTTAATTTTTATAAAAGACAATTATTTTCTCGGGCGAGTAGATCTTTGGCAGGGCTGACAACTTTAACTAGCAGTCAGCCCTGCATGTCTGGCTAATTTTGCAGTGAGTTTCAAACACTGCGGCGGGCTAGCACTGAAACTGAAAGCAACGGAAGTGATGATTTCTCACTGTGTAAAGTATAGAGGCGTCCCGGAATTGCATGGAAAGTCTAGAGAGGTCAGAAACCGCGCCAAACTTGAGAGGTCAGAAACCGCGCCAAACTATTAGATTAAATATGGGTAAAATTTAGAAATCGACACAGGAAATTCGAACAGGAATAATTAACAAGCTTATTGTTCAAACTCTAATTGCTCATTTATATTTAGCAACACTAATCCACATTTTCATTATCCAAAGAGTTTTATTACTTGTTATTTTTTTGTGAAAAAGAAAATACTGGCCATGCTTCGTGTTAATATACAAGTGAGATTATCTTTGCGGAAAAAAATAAATTTGTCCCCGTTCAAAAATGATAAACTGTAAAATGACCTATTTTCAAGGGGTCAAATTTTCGTGGTTTGCAGAGTAAATATTGCTCGAGGAGATTTGATTTTGTGCTTAAAGAGGAAGCTTCATACTGTATAGAATTTTTATGTTTCATGGTGGACATTAATTCGTTGGTCTCTTTGTCCAGGAAATCAACGAAAATTATACCTCCTTGAAAACTTGTGATTACACAGTACATGTACACTTCAGCTCAGAATGTTCCTATAACCGTCAACCTTATGCATTTTCCGCTCAATTTATGTCAACTGAACACAAAACTTTTATTATATAGAAAGTTGTGAAGAAAATTAATGTTTATACAGGCAAAAATTGTATCAAAAACATTTTACATGTATATGAAATTTTGACGAAGATAAAGAATAGTGCAAATTAAAGTATTATATCTATGTTACGACTCTCGATCAGCAGATAGATCCATAACACATTGTTACGTTTAGAAAAGACAGCTTAAAGTTACTACCTAGTACTTAAAAATCTTGAAAACAAAAGTAATATCATATGTTAAAATGTACGGAATCGACATATATAAAGTTCTATATGCAGAAAGAGAAGATGAAAACTGATAAAATTCCAAATAATCAATATCTGTTAGGATTTATTTTCTCATACAGAATAGTGAATGCATATTGTACAGAATAAACAATTAATGATATTCTGAATCTAATGTTATAGTACAAAAATCATCAAAGGACCAGAGAAAGCGACCACGTCAAATGAACGCCTAATTAGAATGCGTTCAATAACTCTGTGAACTGCATGTGACTTAATTAATAAAAATTTTTAATTTGTTTTGTTTTCTCATCTGTAACAGGTTTCTTCACTAGTGCAAACAAAAGGTGCCAAAAAAACGTATATTTAACCAATCAGATTGATATAGTACCAAGTGTTCGAATCTTGAAGTCAAAGAATTTTCTCATCAAACAACCACATGGATATGGTAGATTTTTGATTTTATCATTTGTTATCTTGCTGTGGCGTATTTAAAATTGCATTTTTTGAAATTCATACATCATGTCATATTGGATTACTTCTGTTTCTCATCGAAAAATCACATTGTTAATTTCAGATATAAACTTGTGACACTGATGTTCGTTTATTTACGTTTGGCAACATTATAAGAAGACAAATCCACTTAACCATGATACGAAAATAATACAGCAAAGCACAGGTGAAGAATGTAGGTAGTAATACAAGGTGACAAGAATGTAATATTGCATATAATACACATTGCTACCCAGTGATAAGATCAACCGGTATAGATGCTGCCATCTAATTTCCCCATAGGAACTTGGAGAGAAACTGTTTGCAGGTTCCATCCCATCACCCCCGCAATGTATAGAGGTTACATTTTAAGGTCATTGTTGTTTGGTCTTTAATAACTCTGCTCTGCATTTTCGTTTTGAGGGTAAACACAGTTCAGGGAAGACTAAGCATTCACTTACAATTAATATCGGTTATTAATTAAAAAAATGCTTTAAAATTTGCTGAATGTAATATAAGCACAATTCTATATTTGTTTCCGGAGTTTTTTTAGCCAGCACATTTTGCTTGGGTATGATATGAAGATGCCATTGATATGCATTGAAAAGATTTATTAGCACAAACAACTATAATGTATTTAAAAACAGAGACGTTAAGCAAATTTGAAACTGTATAAACTTCTAGAAAGGAGAAGCAAATACGTGCGGTTGAATTGTTTGATGTGGTAAATTGGGGGGAAAAAAACCTGATCGATTTGCCAATTACCAAGAGCACACAGTGTATTTCGAAGTGAGTCATCTACTGTTCTAAGTTTAACTTCGATATCTTCGGTTCCTATATATCCCTAAGTTTTTTTGTCAGTCCTGACTCAGATATCTCAAAAGTATTTGTAAGATTACTAGGGTTCGAGGTATCAAGGTTAAACTGTATTAATGTATCTGATCAACGAAAATCTCGGACCTCTCCGGAAAAATTAGATATTTTACCATAAGCATCGCACAATTTGAAATTTTACTTTTTGATTAAAATTATCTACACTGTAGTACTCTTCGTCACTGACAGTTAACCCGAATTCCTGAAAATTTCGGATTCACTTTAACCCACATGTGCTCAGAATTCACAGGTCCTAAAACTGGGTCTTAATTTTCTATCTATGAAATAAAATTTTGAGATTGTCCTACCTTATTCAGATCTATTGATATGTAATGTGTACGAAAAATCTTAAAGAAGGTACATTACTTATATATTATTATATAATAGATATTATATTGTCTTACATCAAGAGCTCAATGATCAAATGACGAAGACTAAAGCTATATATATCAAATTGCTCAATATTTCTATCAGTGCTATTGGACATTTTCGGTTGGGTGAACATTTACAAAATAGCGACTACGGATCTTCAATGTGGAACGCATTAGGGCTGTCAACTAGTTTGGAATCATGCGTTGATTTTTAGAAGAAAAAAAAAGGATACTGGGGACCTTACAAGTTATACTGGCAGTCAGCTATACGAAATAAAAGGGATAAATATTGTAGAAAGCTATACCATATGACAAAGTATTGATCAGCTAAAGACTGACAGAAAAGACTGAAAAGAAAGATAGTTATTTTATCAACAGATACCGGAGAACCATTTTGAACTAAATCTCTTTGTGATATGGAAAAAAATCGAAGTGAATATTATTTCATATAAAAAATGAACGTGAATGTGATTGTTTTAATTATTGGAAATTGTTAATAATCCTCTATACACTTCATACTAAACAGTATGAGTAATCTGCCCTTAACTCTAAAATAAAACGAATTGAAATCTTTCATTGTTTTACTAAATTTCTAATGATTTTAAGCATTTTTAGCATTTTATTAGAGCGAGATTTATTGATAAAATGTTTGTTTGCAGGTATTTCCCCCATTAATTAAGCAAGCAACAGTGATTTCTGTTCATTATCATTGAACATTTGTATTTGAAAATTTGGGTTATACCCTATGTTTAAATGAAATAAACTCAATATTTACACCTTTATGATTTTCTTAAAGATTTTTGATTAACAGATAAGAGGGTTCTAAATCAATATTTATATTGATCCCCAATGTCCTTTTTTTGTCTCGATAAAGTTGCTCTTCTGTTCTTACAGTTTCAAAGAAAAGTGGTGATTTTTCTAACTGAGGTGACATTGTTTACTGCAAAAGTCACAGAGAGCCTTAACTGAAACTTACTTATTCATTATAAACTTCGGTTATATTGTTGTTATCCCGGTCGATCCGTCTGACCGTCACACATTCTCCTTCCTCAAACCCCTGTTAATTACAGTTTAAGCAGTAACCAATTCATCCTGTGGAATATGATAGATGGTGTCCTGTAGATGTGCAATAAGTTTTGGCATTTTCATTTTCATTATGGGGGCCAAATGGGAGTCAAAAAACGACATTTTTTTTCACAAAACCTGGTTCCCAGAACTCTTCTTACATTTTACTATAGGTAGCCAAATCATCTATTGGAAGATGATTGGGAGTGATCTGTAGATGTGCAATAAGTATTTCGTAATTTTCGACCCATGGGGTCAAAGGGGGTCGAAAAACTCGAAAAACGACGTTTTTTTACAGAAACCTGGTTCGAAGAACTCCTCAGGATTTTGGCCAAAGCATTTTTGGAAGGTAATTGGGGTGTCCTGTAGATATACAATAAGGTTTTGGAATTTAAATGTTCTTCCTGGGGCCAAATAAGGATTGAAAAACGGCATTTTCTTCTTATTTTACAAAACCTGGTTCCCCGAGCTCTTCTTACATTTTACCCTGATATGCTAATCTTCTGCAAGATGATTGAGGGTGTTCTGTAGATGATCAATAGGATTTCGTAATTTTCATTTTCACCCTGGGGCCTATAGGGGGTTGAAAAGTGACGATTTTCTACAAAAACTTGGTTCCCTGATCTCCTCTTACATGTTTCAAAGGAGCCAATTCATCTTTTGGAATATGACTGGTGGTGTGTTTTAGAAGTGAAATAAGGTTTCGGAACATTTTCTTTACATGGAGAAACGCTGTTGACTTTATTCATGAAGTAATGAACACGTGACCGTTACTTATTAATATTCATCGTTATTGTGATGTTTCTAAAAATCCCCATAATTTATTTGTTTATGTTCTTTCCTTTTGAAATAAAAAAAATTAAAATTTGATCATCATGTTATGTCAACAATCAAGTGTAATATTTTTCAAGGCCAAAATCAACTGTATTTTCCCCACTATGAGGCTCATTCACTTTGTCTAAATTCTGGCCTAAATGTGATTTACATTTTTCACAGTAACCAATTCATCTTGTGGAATATGACTTGTGGTGTGCTTTATAAATGCAATAGGGTATCGGTACCTTTTCTTCCTGAGGGCCGATAGGGGGTTGAAAAAGTGATTTTTCTACAAACCCTTGGTTCCCCGAACTCCTCTTATATTTTCCACACAACCAATTCTTCTTTTGGAATATGATTGTGGTGTGCTTTAGAAGTGCAACAACGTTTCGGAATTTTGATTTTCACCCTGGGGATTGATTAGGGATCGAAAAACGACTCTTTTTTTTTCAACAAAACCTGGTTTATTGTGCATGGTTACCAAATTTGAAGGAGAGTACATTTGGCATATACCTACATACGGCTCTTATGACAGCATCTAGTTATCTTTATGAATGACTATTATTTAACCTAGTGCAAGTTCTAGTAATAGAAACACTGTTTAAAGCTTTAACTCTTCGTCAGGCCCATTCTAGCTAGTGTACCAGAAGTTTACATTATTGCCTTAATTCCACTTCTAATTGTATAATTTTATTCCTTTTACATTTTTAGACATATTATCTCATTCCCCCCCGAAAAATGATCTAATAAATCTGATTTGCATATCTTCCATTTCACATAATTCCTCTAAATCCTCTTCACCATGTTCAGCCCCCCCCCCTTTTTATATTCGTGAATATAACACCTTATTGTTTACAAGCATCATATTCATATGTTAAAATTTTCAAGGAGGTCGCTTTGATTGACCAGAATTGACAAGTATAAATGTTTCACACAAAAGTGGGAAACAATTTACTTATCATACATGTATGTCTAGTTGTAACAAATTTTCGGATACTTTGATTGATGACCATATATTCAGGAAAACTACTAAAAGCTATTAATCTAATATAAATTGTTATAATTATAATCAAGATTTTATCTTACTTTTTTAAGGAATGAATTTAATAGCTACCCAAGTTATACTGGTATAACCTGGGTTGGAACAGTTTACGTTTTTTTATAAACCGCTTCGCGGTTTATAAAGCGTAAACTGTCCCAATCCAGGTTATACCAGTATAACTTGGGTAGCTTTTAAATTCATCCCTTATAATTTAATTTTCTATCATTAAGTGTAAATAATAAGACAGTTTCTCCTTCGAAAATGCCTTCAAATCGTACGTATTTTAAATGTAACGTCAAGCGGATTGATATGTTTTTGACGTAAGGCATTGTGACGTAGCCAACCCAGGTTATGCGATTTATTCTAATTTATTTATCCAATCAAATGACGCGTTTCAACCAAAATTAAATTATTTTAATATAATTTAAAATATAAAATATTAAAACCTTAAAATATAGTTTCTATGAATTCATTAGTCAGGTTTATCAGGTCTTCAGAGGTTCAGGTCATTAGTGTGTACTTTTCTGTCCTGTTCTCCTGTCTCAGAAGTTAGAAATATTCTCACTTCCTGTTTTGACTTTTTCAATAATGTTGGCAGGTTACAATGCGGTTTTCCAAACTTTATTGGGCACACTCTTCACATGGGGCTTAACAGCTGCAGGGGCTGCTCTAGTGTTTGTATTCCACAGCAGTCAGGTAATTTAAATGACGTAATGGCATGATTTAATGTTCTTTTTGCAGATTGATTAATCCAAATTTTGACACATCACCACACTCCTGCTCATGGAAGTATAACGGGTTCGATTCTCAGTCCAATCATTATTTTCCTCCTTTCCTGTTACAAAAAAATGCCCTTATACTATAGCCAAGCATTAATTAAAGGTCTTCTAGAATGATTTTTTATTTATTTTGAATAATATCAAGGTTGATCTTCTCATCCAAATGAAATATTGTTCTGGCCTTAACTTGAAAACTCCTTTACAATAGGACTTCAAACTTGGAACACGGAAAGAGGAATGACTTGACTTTACCGATCCTCAGAAAATGCTAAATTTCTTTCTCTGAAAGCATTCCTTAGCTATTGTTGTTTATTCAGTGAAAAATTGACGAGAGTAATAGTCAATGATGGTGTGTGCCGCATACTTAGTGTCGTTTCTTTAGTATTTAGCAATTTTTCATGTAAACAAACCAACAAGATGTCATTGAAGCTGAAAGATCTTGCAAAAAATACAGATGCAACTGATTTCTTAATTAATCTAAAAGAACAAGACACTAACACTAATCTCTCAGGTGGTATTGACTAACCCAAATCTCCCGGGCAGATGCTAGACTAACCCTAATCATAGTGTACGAGGACTAACCACTTAGATTATGAGATGGATGCAAGACTAACTGTAATCAGTCAAATACTTGTGCAAGGACTAACCTTAATCTCTCAGGTGGGTGCAAGATTAACCCTAATCAATTGAGGAGTGTGCAAGACTAACCCATACCAGTTGAATGACATAAATCATAGTGCTGTGAGCGTAGGGATCTTACAGATATGGGGACATGTAAAGTAAAGTCTACCTGTACCCTGGAAAGATGATATTTAAATGTGTTACACTGCACCAATTTTTTTTTTTATTGGCCCATTTTGAATTATCAAATCAAATCCAAATTAAATTGGAATGCACTGCACCATATTTTTTATTTTACCTTGATCCATTATTTTTATTTCAAAGTTTATTAAAAAAAAAAATCCATGCCATATATTAGGCATACATGTATAACTTGAGAACTCATTTACATTTAGATTTCAAACTTGCAACATTTAAGATAATGTAAACATGGGATGTACTATGTAAAACTTAATGATATGGTTAATTTGAGCAATATGAAAATGGTTAAAACCATTAAGACATTTAGACTGGCCTTTGATATTGCCCACATAGTACACTTGCACTTATCAAAAATAAATGCTGTTTAATGTTGTCCTACTATAGTAAAAACCAAACTTTAAAAGAGAGATGTGTTTTTTTTCCTTTTTGTTTTATTTTTGTAAAAAAAAAAAAATATGTACTTCATGCTGCTATATTTATTACACATTTAATCTCAACATTTAAAGAAGAGTTCATGTATTCAACAAGCAGCAAGCAATTTAGATTGATGTAGAAGGTAGAAATTAAACTTAATTGTTATACACGAGTCTGTGGGATGTAAACATTCACAAAATGACTGCTCAATAGGGATAACTATTCTACACGGCAAGAAGTGGTAGTCAGTGGTCATACATTTTGTCATTTGTAAGTGAGACCTGAGTTCTACCATGTTAATTAAAACACATATTGTGTTTACAGAGTATTATTTACAACACATTCAAATGCAAAAAAGCATTTCAAAGTGTTTATCTTAATTCTCTTTTTCAGAGGAAAGTTCTGGATGCTAGTCTGGGATTTGCAGCTGGGGTATGTTATTGTAGTGACTTTTAAAGTATTTTCATAAAATTCAGAAGCTTATCTAATGGATTATCTTTTAGTTTTATTTACACAGCTAGCTTGATATACATGTATATTAATGTTTATCAAAACAATTGCTAATAATTTCAGAATATTTAATTTTGACCTAAACTCTAGAGCTTCAACAAGGTAAAGTTGAAGTTAGCAATAATTTATGCATATATATTCACATATGAGCATCATAACACATTTAGGTCCATCATGTTAAAAATTGATCATATGTCATTAAAACTGAATTCCTGTTTGTTTAACAGTTAATTGCCTCCAAAGTAAAATTAGTTTTCCAGTTTACCAAATTCAACCTTAATTGTTTGAACCTAATTTTTACTAGACTTGGTTGTCTGATGTGCCTTAATAATGAACCCATATGTATGACATACTGGTACTACTTTCAACAATGATTAAAACTTTTTTAAACAGTATTTCAGATTTCAAAAGTCAAAAGAATATAGCCTGATATTTTTCACTGAGGATATTTTTCATGATAACTGTGTGCTTCATGAAATATACCTGTGTGAAAAGTATCAGGTCATATCTTACTTCATAAATTTTCGAAACTGAAAAAAAAATTCTTAAATGCATTTATATTTAATATTCAAAATTATTCAAAACACAGAGAAATTAATTTAATTGACAAACTGTCTTGTTTTTTTTTCTTCATTTTAGTTTTAAGTAGTGCCATGTGACTGCAATATTACTCCTTTTCAGGGGTTGAGGGGTTGATTATTGCTTCTCTATATAAACGAAGTAAAAAAAAAATACATCAAATTTATAAATTGGGTTCATTTTTTTTCTTTCTTTCTTTCTTTTTTTGCATAGCACATTTTTTTTCCAGTATGTTATGTGTAAGAAGAAAAAGGTAAATATTTTTTATGTTGAAATCTTATCTGTAGGTAATGACAGCTGCCTCTTACTGGTCTTTACTTAATCCAGCGATAGAAATGGCCGAGCACTCAGGGTTTTATGGAGATAAAGGGCAGTGGGCATTTGTCCCTGTTGCTATTGGTTTTATACTTGGGGCAGGATTTGTGTATGGAGCAGACATCTTCATGCCTTATTTAGTAAGTATGAAAGTAAGAGGTCACATCTTCATGCTTTATTTAGTAAGTATGAAAGTAAGAGGTCACATCTTCATGTTTTATTTAGTAAGTATGAAAGTAAGAGGTCACATCTTCATGCTTTATTTAGTAAGTATGAAAGTAAGAGGTCCCATCTCCATGTTTTATTTAGTAAGTACGGAAGTAAGAGGTCACATCTTCATGCCTTTTTTAGTAAGTATGACATTCAGATCAGAAACATAAATAGCAGAGATTTGTAACTCTTTGAAATCTCATGATATCTCGAAGTCTCCTATTGTAATAAGTTTATATATATTCACTCGCTGTAGGAAATTGAAGTATACATGCATGCAGTGGAGCCTTGCATAGCCCTCAATAATCTTGATAACTTTGTTTCCAAATGAAATTCTTAGGATTATAGCAGTGATGTAACTTTTATTTCAAAGCTTTTTGTAATGTGATGGTAAATTGTTTGCCCAAAGGCGTCCAGAGAAAGGTCATGCTACTAGATTAGTGATGGCCAGGCTTACAAAGTGTATTTAAGCTGGCTAGATTCTTGTTCTCTTAAAACATTTTGCCAAAGTCTTTAGTTGACTTCCTTTAGGTTGAGGGACAATCTTTTTTTATCTTGTGTCATATACTGCTTAAATTCTTATAAAGGGAGTTGATGATAAAAAATATGCCTGTGTCATATTTGAAAATTCTTAAACAGGGAGTTGATGATGCATCAAGTCTTATGATGTCACTTGATTCCAGCATGAAGGAAGAAAAAGATGGTGATATACAGATGGAATCTTCCACCAATAATTTTTATGGTGGGTATTCGGTATAGTTATGAAGCAAAATATCTTAATAATTTTGTAGACAATTATACTTTCATAAGAAAAAAATTCTAATATAGGTAGTAATGATTTCTTCAGAAAATTGGTGCAATCTTATTAGTATGAGTAAAAATTTTGCATGAATCTGAAAAAAAGACATCCCCTTCAAGCATATCATGGTATAGCATATCTTGAAGTGAATGGCTTAAAATATCTTAATACAGTAGTGTGCTATATGTATTTTCAGAGTAACATATTAGTACTTTTTGAATTTTTCTATCAGTCAAAATATATATTTTGTTAGCATAAAATCCTTACTGCATTGAAATTCAAAAATATTGTAGTCTAGTCTTTTTGTATCATATTTACTTACCAAGTCACTGTTAAATTCAGATATAAATAGGCAGCAGTCCTTCAGTCAGCCTCTCCGACGTAAACCAACACAGGAGCAGATTAACATGGACAGTTCATACATATCTTCACCAGCTCCATCTAAGTCCCAAGCCATAAACTGGAAAAGGATATTACTACTTATCATAGCCATTACTATTCACAATATACCAGGTAATTTGTGAAGCAAAAATAAACTCAACTCAGGATCGAAGAAAGAACTATTACTCTGTGTAAGAATTTGAGAAAATTTGTTAGTTATCTCCCTTTATATTGTACTTGTTCTTGATGATCTCTCTTAATTATTTACAATGAAAACTGTGTGGGCTCACTGCACAAATAGGATGATCCCCTTTATGCTTACAGATATGTTTGATTCCATTTTTTATTGTTCAAACAATGTTGAGTGGGTAAAAAATTTAATGACGTTTTATTTTCTTGTTTTTCCAGAAGGATTAGCAGTTGGAGTTGGATTTGGAGCAGTTGGTAAATCTCCAGCTGCTACTTTTGAAAATGCAAGGTCAGATACCCAGTTTATACTAGTATATATTATTGGTATAGTATAATAACATAAAATGTGCAGCATTCAGCCTCAAATCATTTCATTGCTAGAATCCTTGTAATACTGTACACAGGGAAATTTTTGCCTCCGTTTTATTTTCGCCCCTTTCGCCCAAGACACAAGCAAATTCAAGACGGTACAAATTCAAAGAAGACAGTATAATTTCTTAAACAGAACTGTGACTGGACAAATTTAAAATGGGACAAAATTGTTTGCAAGTGTGAAAGGTCGAAAATAACACTGGGCAAAAATATCCTGGTATACAGTAGGTTAACCTAATATCTAGTGATTTAAATTAATATATAATTCTTCTTTCGTTACAAAGATTACCAGTCTAGGCAGTTGTTCTAATATTTGCATAATTAAGCTACAAATGTCTAGCAATTAACCCTTTCACAAAAATTGTGGTACTACTCTTTTGCAGGGCAAATTAATAACTTTTGGTGAAGTTTTTGCTAACAGATAATTAAATGATGTAGCTTTTATGTTGTATTTCACCAAACTATATCATTTTGCCCTGAAAAGAGCAGTACCACAGTTATTGTGAAACAGTCTATACAAAACAGAGGAAGCGACTTCATTAGTATTGAGTTATGTCATTCATAGGTTAAAATCTGGCATTGAGATGAAAGGCCAAGTGGAACTTGCCAATGTCAAGGGGCAGTGTCATTTACAAATTACATCTAGTTTTTGTAGTTTTCTATGCTTTAGCTATGCATACATGTACCAGTATTTGGTATTTAATACATTTCCTCTCTACAGGAACTTAGCTATAGGAATTGGTATACAGAATTTTCCAGAAGGTTTAGCAGTAAGCTTGCCACTCAGAGGAGCAGGAATGTCTATATGGAAAAGTTTCTGGTAATGTCTGTAATATATATTTATTGAATACTTACTTTATACTTTGGTTGAGTGGTATAACACATGAATTTATATACATGTAAATGTGTTTTTCCCCTGCAAAATCAAAGTCTTTGTTCTCCAGGGTACCTACACATAATTTATATCAGGTAAGGCTGCATAAAAATGAAATTATGGTTCTCAGGCCCAATTGCATCCCTTTTGAGGCAGATGCATTGCATTGCAAATTTTATATTTTCATTAAAATAAAAAGTTAGTAATGGGGAGACCAGTCTGGGAAAAAAATTTCCACGCTCATTTCCTCATAGTTTTGCACTCCATTTTGTTTCCGGTAGCCATTTTGTTTATGAAGACTAACATTTTGTTAATACAAATGTATGAAATGTTAATGCCTCTACACTCCTTAAGTTTACACTGTTACATTCTAAGCATGTCAAAACAATGGCTGTATATAGATAGTTTCCATTCAGGTTATTTCCCTTGGCCACCCTCCCAGTATGGCAACCAATGGGAAATAACTCTTGCTGAAATTGCATCTATTGAAAACCTTCTATACATACTTGTTGAAAATGAAAGAAGGAGAAAATGCAATTGATGTAAGAAATAACTAAATACACATAAATTTGGACAAAGTAATTTTACGCAGGAAACTTCTGCTTCCATTAATTTCTTGTTCAACAGTTTTGATATCAGTCAGAGGTTAAAACATTGACACAGTGTTTGCAATGAGTTTCACATGTATCTTTTATTTATAAGTAGGTATACATGTGTATGTTTTTTCCGAAACAAAAAAAATGTTTAAAAAAAATTTCATCCAGTATATATTCATAATTTTATGTTCTTTAAAGTACGGTAAATGGAGGCCGGTATAATATTAAAAAACTTGAAACATTAAAGTTATTTTGTTGCATACGTGAAAACAAGTATGTGTTCTTATTTTAAAAAAAACATAGGTATTGTCAGCTAATGTTTTGATATGTGGTTTTACAGTTTCAAATAAACATTTATGGTGCAAACACAATTTTCAGTTGAAGTTTAAAAAAAAATTAGTGCTCAATGTCTGATTTTATTGATTAGAACAAAATGAAGACTTTATGATACAGTTGAATCAACAATGTACAAATATATGTATTTGGTAATTTTTTGAGAATCAGATGATGAATAAATCTACAGGTTAATTATAGTATATTTTCGAACAAAGAATTTTCATCATTATTCAAAAAAAAAAATATGGAATAAGAAATACCTTTCTCTTTTACTTTATCATTAATAAAAAGGAAAATAAGTTTCCCCTTCCCTCATCTGTATTTGAGAAAATTGGCCTGAGAACCAGAAAATTAAATTTATGTGGCCTTTTTACTCAGCTTGTCTTGAAATTAAATGAAATCTGATCATTTAGAAAAATTTTAAAACCACATCTTTGCTTTCCAAGAAGTAGTGTATACAAGTATTATAGGTATTAAATTGTTTGCCTGATAATAGATTATGGTCACTGTCAAAAAAGATGCAGTTCTATAAAATAATTGTCAACTTCCACTGTTTTCTAGGTTTGGTCAGTTGAGTGGTATGGTAGAGCCAGTAGCTGGTCTACTGGGAGCTATTGCAGTAGTAATTGCCGAGCCTATATTGCCTTATGCTTTAGCCTTTGCAGCAGGTGCTATGATTTACGTGGTTGTGGATGACATCGTTCCTGAAGCACAAACCTGGTAAGTGGAGCATGCTAATGTGATGTAAGAAAGATAACTCATATCCTGTCTAAGCTTTAGATGGAAGAGTTTTGTCTCTTGGTGGTGCATTAGAATTTATTAGTCCATCCCTTTTGTCATATGTGAATGCTTTATTCAGGACATTATTTTACTCCTTTTTATGATTGACTCTGTGTTCAGAAAAGTTATATAACAGCCTATCAAATTAAAGTCTATGAAGAGTCTGAATAAATTGATGTTGCTGTATGAAACTGAAAAGGGAAATACGAGGCAGGGGCAATATTCAATTGTCCCCTATATCATTATAAGTGAATGTCATGTGCGAGAAACATCAATTTTTTGACTGTGTGTACTTTTTTCAGGTGGAAGTTGTTCAAGTACATGTATTTTAGTTTGCTTAGTTTGGAAAATACTCTAAATTTTAAGGAATGGCTGATACAGAATACAGAAACATATAAGAAATAAAGGGTAAAATGTCTATGGGATATTTATATCAGATTTAATTGACATATGGTACCAATACTGAAACAGTTATATTTTCATATCTTATATTAGAGCAATCATGTTCAATCTTTGAAGTACAGAAATACATGCATATACTTCCTCTTTTCAAGTTAGCACAGTTAAGTAATAAAGAAGTTAGTGTGATCATTTTAGACTCAAGAAGTGTATTTTGGTTCAGCCCTTGAAACTATAGTAAAACATGTAAGTGATCAGTTGTTTTTCAATTCTATTGATAATTCCTTTTTAGAGACATGTTTATAGAATACTCTAAAATGCTATTTTATGTAATTTTAATTGAACATGTTTATTCTGGAGAAATGCACTCACAGACAGGCTTCAGACTACATAGGAACTAAATACAGTACAACACGGTTACAGCAATAGATATGCTTAATATAATGAATACAGTAAAACTTAGTTATAGTGAAGTCCTGGGGACCTGTGAATTTCCTTTGCTATATTTGTAATTTGTAATATCTGTATAACGATTTCATGAAAATATAAATAGCAAATTCGCAATTATCATGTTTTCCTTCAAGTCTGACTACCAAATATGTTGAGGGACATAACAAAAACTTGAGGGTAAAAAAGTTTTCAGATGAAATGAATTTCAAAAACTCGGTTCAATATTTTAAAATTTGGGATATTAAAAATTAAAAGATGTAAATTTTGTTATTTTTAATCTCTACAAGACACAAAATCAATTTGCTATATCTGCAAATTTTTATATCATAGTTCATTATAACCATGAAATTTTACAAAGAATTGTTCAGAATTTTGTTGGGGATCTGAAAAAATGTTGCTTTATCTGTAAATTTACTATATCCTTGTTCACAATAAAAAAGTTTTACGGGGGTGTTTTTTTTTTTGTTATGGAAATTCTGTATTTTTCCTGGATTTTGGTGTCAAAATACGGATTACAGAATAAGCTCAGAAATAATGCTTCCCAATTATGCTACAATGTTTTTTAGCCATTAAATGATAAGCCAGGATTCACACAAACGTTTCAAAGATTCTGATGATCAACCTCCAGACAGATTTGGATGTATGGGAAAAGCATTTATTTTTTAACATTAATATCAATTTTAAAAAAGGATTGATGATAGCTTTTACAATCAATTAGCATTTGTACATAGAAAAGCAAAGTTTATCAAGGGTACTGCCAAGATGAAATTATGGATAAAATACTCATATTACTGACAAAAACCATGTACATTACGGAAAGCTGCAAAAGGGGGTAAACACCTTTGGTTTTACTATAATTGCCTACAGCAAAGTGATTTTCATTTACTGTAGTTTTAAAACATATTATGAACTTAACAGATATTTATAACAAATAAAAATAGTTCATCCCTGGCACTTTGCTATAGATTTGTTTTCTGTATTTTTTTTAATTTGTTATAAATTTTGAGTATAATTCTCTAAATGGGAAAAAGGAAGAGAATAGTTTTTTTTGTTGTTTTTTTTTAAAAAAAAGCTCCATTAATCTCAAAATGAATATGTTTTAAAAATTAAATATGAGATTGATGCTTATCTACAAACTTATCTATGTACAATACACATGTAAAACATTTGAAGTTAATGGAAAGAGGACACAGAGATAATAAACTAAAAAATCATAAAAAAAAAAAATGGGGGGAATGGTGTGTAATTTTAAACTCATTTTTTGACTTAATAAAGCAAAATTGTGGACAGATTTTCCCTCTTTCAAGTATGTCAAAAAAACTATCAACAGAATATGAAAGATTATAGATGAGGCATTGATGAAGTTTTGCACTTCATATTCCTGCACATTAAGCACCCAGATTCTTTAGCATATTTCCAAACCTTAACGTGACATACATGTACTTAATTGATATTCACCTAAACATTCCACTTAGTCTTTTTTTGTGTACTAGTATGTGCTGCATCAATTATTCAGATCAGTTTTTGGTTACTGATAGATGCACTAATCTGCTTTATTTTACCAATAAAGAGAGATTTTACTGAATTAGCTCACCTGAGCCGAAGGCTCAAGTGAGCTTTTCTGATCAAAATTTTTCTGTTGTCTGTCATACATTGGAATATATAGGAAAAATCTTTAAAAATCTTCTCAAGAACAGCAAAGCTGTCGTTAGCTATATTTATATGGAAGCATATTCAGGTAATGTTGAGTCAGTGTAGATTTAAGTTTGTTCAAATCATGACCCCCAGGGCTAGGGTGGTTCACAATGAAACAAAGTTTTACAATGGGACATATAGGAAATATCTTTAAAAATCTTCTTCCCAAGAACAGCAAATCCAAGATAAGTCATATTAATTCAGAAACAACCTCAGATAGTGTAGATTCAAGTTTGTTTAAATCATGTTTCCCATGGGTAAGACTGGTCACAGTAGAAAATTAAGATATACAGTAAAACTCATTTAGTACGAACATGGATATAATGCATACATGGATAGAACGAAATTTTAACTCACCTGAGTAGAAGGCTCAAGTGAGCTTTTCTGATTGAAATTTTGTCCGTTGTCTTTTTTCGATGCCGTCATCGTTGTTGTTGTCTTTAACTTTTCACATTTTCATCTTCTTCTCAAGAACCACTGGGCCAATTTCTAGTACCAAACTTGGGTAAAGGAGATTCAAATTTCTTTAAATGAAGGGCCATGCCTTCTTCCAAGGGGAGATAATTACAGATTTGTGAAAAATTAATGGCATCAATTAAAAATCTTCTTCTCAAGAATCACTGTGCTAGAAAATATGAAACTTATATGGAAGCATCCTAAGGTAGTGTGGAATCAAGTTTGTTCAAATCATACCCCCAGGGGTAGAGTGGGGCCACAATGGGTGATCAAAGTTTTACCTAGGAAAACATGGAAAAAATATTTTAAAATCTTCTTCTCAAGAACAACAAAGCCATGTTTAGTCATATTTATATGGAAGCATCCTCAGTAGTGTAGAATCAAGTTTTTTTTTCAAATCATGACCCCCGGGGTAGGGTGGGGCCACAATGGGCAATCAATGTTTTACATAAGAATGCATAGGAAAAAATTGATAAAAATCTTCTTCTGAAGAACAGCAAAGCCAATATGTGTCATATTAATTCAAAAGCATCCTTAGGAAGTGTAGATTCAAGTTTGTTTAAATCATTTAAATTTACATTATTTATAGCGAATTTTCAAAGACTTCAATTTTAAAAATATTGATTTGATATCAATTTTATTAGTATTTATATATGAAACTCAATTTATCTGAAAACTCTTGAACTCTGAGGTAAATTTTGCATGATTTTATACTTCCCTAAATACATTTGGTAGTCATATTTGAAGGAAAAATGTATATAGCAAATTAGCTATGAGTTTAATGAATTCGTTATATGGATAAAACGAATTACAGATATAGCGAAGTCAATTTGCAGGTCCGTAGAACTTTGCTTTAACCAAGTTTTACTGTAGAAGAAAAAAATCTTCTAAAGCCATGATTAGTCAAAGAAATATGGAAGCATCCTCAGTTAGTGTAGATTCAAGTGTGAACAAATCATGCCCTCCTTTCCCCCGGGTGGGTTGGGTTGGGTTGGGTTGGGAGTATTTGCAATCACATACATATTTAATTTTTTTCAATACTGTACTGATTTCTGCTTTTTCCTAGCCAATGTGCTCAGGTGAGCAATGTGGCCCATGGGTCTCTTGCTTTATACAGTATAGCTATTTTTGCCATTAAATTAAGGCACTATATATACCAGCGTTACTCTTCCAGACAAACAGAATGGTGAATGGAAATTATTTAGTAAGGAAAATAAATAACTTCACTTTGATTAATTTTTGTTTTTCAAGGCACAAAGTTTTGAGGGTTCACCAAAAGAAACATCATGCATAATATACTCTGTATACCATAATTTGTACATGACGGCCAGCTGGGGTACAGCAATGATTGCATGACGTTGTAGAATATCACTTTACTATTTATAATTCTAAAAATGTATATATTAATGAGGGTTTAAAAAAAGCACTGAATGGCAAGAAGATCTTTTAGAACAATGTTTAGATTTCAGATATAAATTGTGAATTTTAAATAAACCCAAGGAAAGGGCATTCGTAGAATAAATAAATTCCATTCAAAGGCAAAAATGCAAGGGATCGAAGAAAAATAAGTCATGCATAACAGAGTAAATGGGAAAGTTGATTCTTTTCTAGTGTGAAAGTTCAATGTTCGGATAACTATTTACAGAATGTAGAAATATTTAAAAAAAAAAACAAGGAAAAGTAACTCTCGTTGTGTTCTAATCCCTAAGAAATATGTTATCTGAAAAATGTTTTTAAAGAATGTAAAATTTAATTGATCTTTCATTGTAATAATGAACAAAGCACAGTTTTACATACTTATATTTTACTTCCAATTTTTTTTAAGGAATGTGGGTTTTGTTGTTTCTATGATTATTTTCAATCAATATAGTTATATACAAGCAATACATTTTTGAACTTAAAGAGATTTTTAAATACCAGCCCTTTAGATATACAATAAA